TTCTCTCTCTCTCTATCTGTCTCTATATCTCTCCCTCTCCCTCTCCCTCCCTCCCTCCCTCCCTCCCTCCCTCTCTCTATCTCTCTCTCTCCCTCTCCCTCTCCCTCTCTCTCTCTTTCTCTCTCTCTCTCTCTCTCTCTCTCTCTCTCTCTCTCTCTCTCTCTCTCTCTCTCTCTCTCTCTCTCTCTCTCTCTCTCTCTCTCTCTCTCTCTCTCTCTCTCTCTCTCTCTCTCTCTCTCTCTCTCTCTCTCACTCTTTCAGCTTTAAACAGTCTAGAAAATTAGTTGATATAATATTTTTAAAAAATGATCTTGCCACGTACAGATAGATAGATAGATAGAGAGATAGATAAATATAGATAGATAGATAGATAGATACAGATACAGACTATTAGATAGATAGACAGATAGATGAAGATATAGATATAGATAAATAGAGGTAGAGGTTATAGAAAATGTTTAACATTCCTGAGTAATTTCCCAAGCACTTGATTACCAATTTTAGCACAAAAGCATTCAGACGCAACTAAATTATTCAACTTTTTTTTTTAAGAATATCGTTTATTTTTCGTTTTTGGGCGCAATGTATAACCCCCCCCCCCGCCCCCAGCCCCCCTCCCGTCTGCGCGGTGTTTGCCCCAAAGATGAATGATAATTAGTTGTTTTTACATCCCCATAAACATATTTTATGGCATATACGGGAGAGCAAACCAAACACCCTCCTTCGAGCTCGTATATATCGTAACTACTATGAAAAATGAATGAAGAAGAACTATAGAAAAAATAGTTTTGAGTCGAATAATCCCTTCAGTTTTATTTTGTCGACATCAAATCATTTTATAGAAGAGGATCTACTTAACCTTGGAAATAGTAAATTGATATACAAAAAAATATAGGATACTAAAATATATATTAAAAAGGGATACTGATACCAATAAGTATATTTAGCATTTCGGAGATTCCATATATAAAACCTAAAATGAAAATGCATCATAACCCTCGCTAAAACCCCGAAATATCATAAAATCGTTGCTAAATAATAAATAATAACCCACACCCCAAAAATACCCTTCAAAAAACCTCAAAATCGAAAACAAAAGCGAAAAAGGAGAAAAAAAGACGTATGTAAAGAACCCCCGATTTAAAGCCCCATCGCTCGACCAATCAGCGTCGAGATCCAGGATTTAAATCTCTCGAAGGACCTGCTCGACGTCAGCTTCCCTTCTCTCTTCGCTATTTTCTCCCGTTTTTCTCCTCTTCTGGTAAGTTTTTGTAAGTTTGGGTGGTTTGAGAAAGCATCATTGTGCGTCTTGACTGGTCGATTAATGGAAATTGTAACAAGTTTGGCCGAAAAGAGACGAAAAGAGACGAGTTCTTGTACGTGAGAGAGAGAAGCGCGGATTCTACAAAAGCAAAAGTCGATTATTATTCTTTTTAATTCTTTTAAATATATTTCCTTCCTTTATTTGTGTGTTAATATCATTTATTTGAGTGTTTAGCGTCCTTTCCATCACTTTATTATCTCTTATGAGGATTCAGCCCTGAGTTTTGAGGGGATAAAGACGAGAAATGTCTTTTCACGAAAATTTGAAATGATAAGCTTCAAAATATTGTATATTTTTGCTATATATCCCTTTTATTTCTTTTTTTTCGATTATCATCATCCTCTCCATTTAAGATACTAACTGATGAGTGCAATAGTATAAGAATAAGCAATCCTGCCTTGCAATAACGAAAATGCGATGTAATGAAAAGTCCACAATATTTTTTTTTTTTTTTTTTTTCTTTAATCTACTCCTATATTTTAAATTTTCGGAATTAGTTCTAGGAGTTCATCAATCTTTAAGTTTGCTTTGTTATATATTCTTTAAATTCTTAGATAAGTGGCCGTTTTTCCCCATGGATGGTTTTACTCGTTAACTAATAAGCCTATTGTACTGTCTCCTTTGTGTGAAAATAGCGTCCTTGAGAGAGTAGTCTAGGATCAGTTAATTACGATATATTTGTTTCTTTTTCTGATAAGGGTCCTGTTTCATCCAGCTTGTTGTATTTACCCACAGGTTCCAAGACCGCTTAAGCATGTTTTGTGATCATTAGGCGTTTATTATGTTCAAATGCTTGTGGAACTTGTAAGGGATAAGATTTACTTATAGATCGACGGCGACTCGTTGAACAAACCTAACCTCAATCATATATATTCTGGCAAGACTGGGAAACGTCCTCTGTCGTTAAGTGAGGGAGCACAGTTCAAGCTCTGTCTTGCCTGAGTATTTGTGGCTGAGGTTTGATGGCCTTTGCTGTATGACATGCATGTAGGCCACAGCACGCTTGTATCATTATACATGCATCGGCGATTTATACCTCAAATTAAGCGACAACTTGTCCCACTTACTTCAGGAATATAACTATCAACATTACTGACCCCACAGCAAGGAGCAGCAGGCCCGTGGCGGTGAACTAAATGCTGACCAATAAAGAGAACGGGATGATGGCAGGCAGCA